GTCAATACAGAGATTAGCCTGGGCATTGTGGCTCAACCCTGTAATCCCAGCACTTTGGGATGCTGAGGTATCAAAATTGCTTGAGTCCAGGAGCTCAAGATCAGCCTGGGCAACAACATAGTGAGACCCTGTCTCTACCAAAAAATTTATATATGTATATATACAGGCATAGTTACATGTGCCTGTAGTCCTAACCATTCAGGAAGCTGAGGTAGGAGCCTAGGAGATCAAGGCTAGAGTGAGCTGTGATCACACCACCACACTCCAGGCTGGGAGACAGATTAAGACCCTGTCCCTAAAAAATAAAAGTTAAAAAAAAAAAGAGATTAAATTATAATAAATGTGATTAAATTCACATTTATTATATGAAAAAATCCTTTTTTTGAAATGAAAATCCTTTTTAAAGAGACTAAAAGATAGTACATCTAAAAAATGGCAAGAATAGAGGAAAAGCAGAAGAAAGAACAGTAGTAGGGTCAAATAGAAAATGAGTAGTAAGGTGGTAGACTTAGCCATACTTACAATTACATTAAATACAAATGATATACACACTTTAATTAAAAGGCAGAGATTGTTAGATTGGATAAAATAGCAAAATTGGATAAAGTACCAAAAGCTTTCTACAGGAAACACACTTCAAGTAAAACATGGATAAGTTAAAAGGATAGGGAAGCATATACTATGAAAACATGTCACACAAAGGCTTGTAAGCAAATAATCATGAAAGCTTTATTCATAGTAGCCAAAACCTGGAAACAACCCAGATGTTCATCAACAGGGTAACAAATTGTGGTGTGTCTATAATGACACCCTTCTCAGCAATACAAATGAATGACTACTAATGAACTAGTTAATTAATGAACTACTAACAACATAGATGACTCTCATAATCATGCCAAGATAAAGAAGCCAAATACAGAAAGGCCCATAGTGTGATTTTTATTTATATAAAACTCTATAAAAATCAAATATAATCTGTGGTGACAAAAATCAGATTAATGGTTACCCAGAGATTAACTGGGATGGGGATCAGAGAATTTGGGGGAATCATAGAAATGTTCTTTATTTTGAGTCTTATATCAAAACTCATCAAATTTTTATTTTACATAAGAATATATTTTGAAGCCGGGCGCGGTGGCTCAAGCCTGTAATCCCAGCGCTTTGGGAGGCCGAGGCGGGTGGATCACGAGGTCAAGAGATCGAGACCATCCTGGTCAACATGGTGAAACCCCGTCTCTACTAAAAATACAAAAAATCAGCTGGGCATGGTGGCGCGTGCCTGTAATCCCAGCTACTCAGGAGGCTGAGACAGGAGAATTGCCTGAACCCAGGAGACGGAGGTTGCGGTGAGCCGAGATCGCGCCATTGCACTCCAGCCTGGGCAACAAGAGCGAAACTCCGTCTCAAAAAAAAAAAAAAAAAAAAAAAAAAAA